AATAAACTGTGATTAATGTGTTTCCAGAGAGAGGACACAGCAGGATGAAAACAGCCACAAGCTTTTTTTCCCCACAGTCAATGTCCCACCTTCCTTGGTGACAGGAGGAAGTACATGTTCAGTGTATATGACTGCAATGTGCATTAGAGCTGTGTGGGTTTTTTGACTCTTCCTGAGATCTGATGTGGTTTTTTTCATAAAAAACCCTGCAGGCATCTTGCCTGCAATCTTAATCACCTCCTCTCCCCTTCTAAAGCAGATTTCTTGCACCTATGAATTTTCTCATAAGATGATTTATTGTGCATTAAATTCCACTTTACTCCTAGTGCAAATTATACTGCCAACTATCTAAATGCCAGCTATCTTCCAAAACTTTGTCTTTTGGAGGCAGTCAGTTGTCTGGTCTGAATGCCTAAGTAATTTCTAAAGTATAATGAGTTTTGCTAAAGTTTCCTCAGGCAACTGTTTATTTCTATGATTTTAATTATTTAATTAATACTGCCTAAATTCAGTATCTATTAATGTATTTTTAGAAGATCTAAAGGCTTGCAGTTAAAATATTTTATGTCTTGTGGATGACATAGCGAATTTTGTTAAAAATTACAGCTAGCAGCAAGAGTTGGAATATCATTAATACAAAGCAGAAAACAACTGCTCTTAGAAAAAGATTCCTTCTGGATATATGTGCTCTGTATCTCAGCTCTAGGTCCCTCTATAGAGGCAAATAAATAAAAAGTACCAGAAGGTATGCAAATGAAACAAACTGACTAAGAACTCAGTGCTGAACCAATTCTATTATAAATATACACATCTATCACACTTTTGGAAAAAAACCCAACAAACTAATAGCATATCTGTAATTACAAAAGACAGGACAGAAATTGCAAATGAACCATCCAATACTGCTGACAATTACTAGTCCTGCTGCTGTAAGCAGAGAAGAGAGGTCTTAGTGAGGCTGTCAAATAAAAATTATTCTTCTTTGGAATAAATGTCTCTTTCTCAAATCAACTCTTTTCATGTGAAAGGTGGCAAACAAAAGGACAACACCTATAGCCTCTATAGCCTGCAGCATACCAATATTCAGAATTCTATCAAGCCAAACTATGATGACCCACTCCTCAGCTGGTGAAGGCTCACTCTCACGCCATTTGACACCAATTCATCTGTCATTTCTGGGAACTGAGAAGGTATTTGGAAAAAAATCTTCAGTCATGTGCCTGGCCTGTCTTAACAGCCAGTGACTGGCTGAAGTCTGCAAACTATGCTCTACAGTCATTTCTTGATGGCTAGAATGCTGAGCTGATAGATGACATCACATGACAGGTTATCAAGGGCTATTCAATGTCTTCTAATGAATCCTCCCTCAGCTCCTTAGACTATCTACACAATTAATACTTAGGTTTCTTTTTCAAAAGACACTTTCTACTTACTTTATACTTTAGTCATTTCACTGGATTTATTTGTCCTGGAATACATATTAAAGTGGATAGTTAAAAAGATAAATCAAAATACTCTATGAGAATTATTTATGGGTAGGTATTTATTTCCATGCTTCTGGCCTCAGCTTCCTATTGAGAATGGTGAACCTTGCTATGTCCTAGTCACAGTGATTATACTATCTACACAAACAAAAGGATAAACTTTATATAAAACTTCCAAACCTAAACTCAGAGGCAATACTAACTAATATGACTTTGGAAGGTGAAAAGCAATAAATAGCATGGTAGTAGACATTCTGGTATTTTAAAATTTTGCTACCATTGAATGATAACTGAATATACTGTATTAAGGTTTAAAATAAAAAAGGATTTCTGGGTTAAATATTTTACTTTAGAATGAAGAATCATTGACAGCATTTGGTGCTTGACAGAAGCACCAAAAAAGCACAATCATGTGCCTGAGAAGAAGCCTTTGGGCACAGTAAGTTCTTGCTTCAAGGCCCAGAACTGACCATATCTGATTCATGTAAAGATGTGAGGTAAGGTCTGTGTTACAGAAGTTTTTCTTAGTGTTCTTCAGAGGTCTTCTCCAATAATGCCTCCAAGCATCATGTTGTTTTACTCTAAAATAAACTGATGCCCACAGATATCATAGCTAATATGCAGAACCTAGGAAGTTTCCATTTTTTTTCTTCTAAATAACAAGTTTATTCAAGTCTCCCATAGTGGTAGGTAATATTCGATGGTTCATTGCATAAGGATCTTCTATAGCTAAGAAACATTTTGAATGGTAGATTAGGCATTCTGTTTAATAGCCTAATAATAATATACCATCCTGCAATAATCAGCATAAATGTCTGCTTTTCAGCTTCAGGGCAGTGATGGCAATAATTCAATGACAGGTATAGTTTAGTCTCACTGGAGCTAACAACTATTAGGAACAGAGAGCCTATTTATCTTTATTGCTTCAACTTGAGCCATACAAACTTGATGTATGATTCTGTCACAGGAAGCTCAGTGTTACCTACCAGTGCCACCAAATACTTCAGCTAAGGAGATAGTCTTGTTCCACATTCTGATGTACAGGGTATTTCTTTTGGTTATGGATCAGTAACCCAACAAGGTCTGACAGCAGGACAAAGTTTGTTGCAATGATCCAGGAACGCACTCATGCTATCATTTCCTTTAAAAACAAGATCTTTTTATGTGATTGTCCACATATTCTCTTTCCATTTACTATACCTGAATGGATATAAGTTGCTTTCTGTAATATTTTGTATCTACTTTCCTTCTTTTTCTGCTTCTTTCCTTCTTTAGGTCAAGGCATCACAAAATTCTGATTATGGATTTCCCCTCTGCACCTATTTAAACCCAGGCTCATCTTTCTGAATGTCAGTGATCAGAACTCTAGATCTCTGTCTCTTATGCTTGGCATACTGACATTCATATTGTCGCACTCTGCTGAAAATAGTTTGAAAATGTCTTAGTACAATAACAGAACTTTTTCAAATGCACTTTATTGATGATTCAAAGTAATTTTTACAGTTTTGTAATAATCCTCAATTTTTCTAATTTGATCAATTTCCTTTTAATATTTCACATGAAGTCCAGAGAACTCAGGTGGCTTACATTGTTCTTTTACAAAAAGTGAAATTTTATCAAGGAGCTGACTTGGTATGACATCCTTTGGGTGTGGTGCGTATACTTCCATTTCACATGTACTGCCATTTTTCTGATTAGATTCATTAAAAATACCTGATATTAAAACTGATTTTTATGTGCAAGTTTCTTTCTTTGTTTTACAGAAAAGACTATCTGGTGTCTCATATTTTTGTACATTGTGGTCTTTTTGTTTTGATGCCCCTTGAGGAGGAAAACATTACATCTTCTTTAATCAGAGCTATTAGGGCTTTGCATTTGGCGAGTTTTGCCCTTAATCTGAGAAGGATCTCTGGGCAGTCAGAATTATTGGAACCACAGCTACTTTATAACATAACTGCCACAGGAAACAAAGAGGCTCTGATAGGAACAGAAATTTTAGTAAAGATTCCAGACATCATATTTTGCAGAGATAAGAGACAAGACTGTATCAAGAAAGGCCTTTCCAAAGCAAAGAAAGGAAAACTGGCTAGGGAGATGGATTTCCAGCAATCTTTTAAAGCAAGTAAAATGTATTTTTATTTTTATATTAAAATCTTCTTCCAGAAACTCACTTGGCAAATCTGTCAGTTGGGAACATCAATCTTCAAGTAACTGAAAGTTTTTTTTCACATTATGCTGGGCAGCAGGGACAGACACCATATAGCCACTCTGAATTGCCTTTAAAATAAGATGTAACTGAAACAGGTGATATTTGTTCTTCTCAAGAATGGACAAATATCATTCAAGCCAATTAATGGTTTCATTCAGAATAACTGTACTGGTTTTGGCTGCACTAGAGTTAATTTTCTTCTCAGTACTAGATGTAGATGTGCTAGATGTAGATGAAAAGAGGTAGGGACCAACATACTATTTTGTTTTTAGGATGCCAGAGTCTGAAGTAACTCTCTGTGTGAATCAGAGAAATTCCGAGCTTTTTTGTTAAAATTTACACCAAATATTTGTAGTTAAGAACACATATTTCAATTTTCATGGCATTTTTTCCATCTGTAGCACTGTTGTCCCCTATTCAAAATACCCTCATGTTTTCATAACACTGAATCTAAAAAAAATAATTCTTCCTCTCTGCAGCATAACATCTTTGTATTAGATATTGTCAACACAAGAGCATCAAAAGTATACTTTAGGAAAGAATAATTTCCTTATTTCTCCATATGGGAAACATGAGAGATGTAACCTGGCTTTTAGTTCAACTCTTCCCCAGTCCTCCAGGCAAATTCACTGCATTCACAGAACTCCCCCTGCAGCCTTGGTCTATCTACCTCTGGAGTGTTGCCATGTTCTAACATAACCTCATGTCTTAAAAGGAGCTCCACCTTGAATAGAAACTGAAATTATAATAACAGTGATCACCATAATTTCTAATTTTCAGTCACAATCTGAAAAACGTTTGATTATTTCTGCATTGCCTTTATGGTCCAGTTTCCATTCCCTCATTACTTTCTATAAAATTCTGGTTTTTTACTTCTGTCTGTCTATTATTAAAGTTCCAGGTTTTAACAAAAAAAGCATCTTATTGGCTCACCCGGATATCAGTGACACTTCAATGATTATGTTCAACATTAGGAAAAAACCACCACACTTTTGCTCTTTAACAAATCTACGTTCCAGTGGGATAACTTTTGTTTTTACAGTGCTTTTTAAACCACTAATGTCTGATGCTGCACTTCATCAGGTGATTTTTATATAAGTATTGCCTGTCAATGATGTTTTGTCAATGATGTTTTCCTTATTGCAGGACCAGAATTTCAACGTTATAGTACTGTTTTCACTATTTATTACCTCTTAAATATTTTGATTTTAATGAATCCTCTGATGTATTTGTCTACTTGATACTATGAAATGTTTTAAAGATTTTGCTCCTCAACTAAGCAGTCTGTATTTTTTCTCTTTCCTCAGGCTCTTTCTCAACTAATGACACCAGATGAGCCAGAGTATAGTCCCTCAGGATCTCTCAAGATGCAAAAACTATCACAGCATGAAAATTTCTGTAATTTAAATTTTCAGTTGATGTATAATTCCTTGTTGTTGATTTTGAGTCCTCAGACATTAAACCTGTTGGTTATATTTGAACTTTAGATGATTATGGTACATTAATGCTTGACTTTTGACTCACCATTCAAAACTGAAATAAATTTTTCTTTTTATTTTCTTATTCATTATTATGTTACTTTTTTATATCTTTTAGGAAGAATATATTAAATTCATCACTCCAAATTCATTAGAAAACTAGTGAAACTACAAAACTCGTGAAACTACAAAATAAATACCGTCTATGAAATAGGCTCTGCAGTGTGGGTCATTGTTTTAATTGTAATTGAATTTTTATTATAACCTGATACCTATGAAAAATATCAATTATTGTTTCAAAAAGGTTAATATTTACATATATAAACATATCACAATCTATTATAGAATGATGGTCCTATTATTTTTCCACCAATTTCTCACTCATTCACAGTCTAGAATCAAGAACATGCTGTTCCATTTTTTGAGTCTCTCACAGCCTCGTAGATCACTCCTTTACAAATCTATGTGTGCAGGCACAACTTAAAGTTGAATTCAGGGCTATCTATGCATCCTATATCTCACACAGGTGGATGTTCTCCATTTCTTTCATTGTTTTTTGCCTGAGTGTGCAGGAAACTTAAAACAAATTGATGCTTGTGCAGGAAAGAGAAGAAATGGCAAAGCCAGGCTCAAAGCCAGGGACCAAAGGCAGAATGCTCATGAGTCTGTGCTCAGGGTTTCCAGCTCCTGAGCCTTCACTACCATGCAGTAGTATAGATATATATATAGATATATATAGATAAAGTTCATATGGAACTGCTCTGGGTGGAGAATGTAAAGTGTTACACCCATCAGAAAATAGGTAACTCCAAGACTTACAATTATTGCAGACTATTCCCAGCAAGGCAATACTCTGATGGTTCATTTTAGGTGAATGAATGTTTCAAGTAATCCTTATGTAGTCTCTCAAAAACAATTTTGCAGGGTATTTAGAAGCACACATCAAGGTTCCCAAAAATGTCCCTCAAAACCTTTTCCTGATAAATGCTCTTAACTCCCTGTTTGGAAGAATAATACTCTAAACATGACTTCCACAAGCTGCCTCAAAATCAAGCTGGCTTTCTATAACTTAAGATAATCTGTTCATGAAAACCTGCTTTTTGAGATTTAATGTTTTCAGCCCCAATGAGATAACTAGAACTTCAAGAGTTTTAACACATATAACAGATTTATGCAATATTTGATGCCATTCCTTAGTAGATAGCAGTTTTTTGAAAGAGGGACATCCTTCATATTGGACGAGAATTGCATAACCATGGCAGAGCAGCTCTTACTACCCACAACTTCCTAGACTCTGACTCTTCCAGTAAGCCATTAGCCACACCAGAAAAATACTACATTATTACCTTGGCCACTTTCTATAAAATAAGTTTTCTTTCAAAGCTTTAATTTATTAAAAACTATCTATTATTTAAATCAGTAATAGAAGTGGTCTTCACTGTAACAGAGAGTATTAGTCTCCTCCTGTTAATAGCTTTGCCAAAGAAATGAGAAACATTCTTCTCAGGGCAGGTCCCATCCACATAACTTAAATGCTTTTCTAGACACAGCCTGTCTGTACTTGCATACTTCTCAGCAGTTTTCTAGGAATATAGTAAAGCAATGATCTGAATTCTCACAGAATTTGGGAAAAGTTATGCTGGATGACAGAAGGAAATCTGGTTGTGTGCTTAAACAAAGCAAAATATGCACGGCAAAGGTCAGAGCTTCTTGGAATAGTATTGATTTCTTCAGACAGCAGGGGATGCCAGTATTTATAAAACTTAAAGAAAAACTATGTCAAAATCTCAGTTTCCTCTCTGTTTCCAGTGGGATTAACTTAGGTATCAGTTTTCCCATACTCCTCAAAGACAATATTTATTGCAAAGCCTTGCATCCTGTAAACTTAGTCCCAAATAAGACCCCTGAATTATCAGCTCTGTAGTTCAAAACTCAGGTTTAGTTGATGTGATTTGATGTAAACTTAGAATAGACTGTTAAATCTAATGAGGAAATATCTCCTTTTGTCTGCAGAGGACTTTTGAAGACAGTGGAACATTAAGCAGTTTTGTGCCCCGGTGTGGTTGGTGAGCAACAACCCCTCCTAGATGCTTGGGATTCTGCAGATATTTTTTTCTGCAACTTACAAAGGAAGAAGGAACATAAAAACACACATTCCTTTTTTGTGCCTCAGCTGCACATATATTCCACAGGCAGCCCAGTAAACTAGGAATGCAACACCCACAGAGACTGAAACAACTGCAGAAACAGCTGAAACAAAATCAAAACAAAATTTTGGTCCTAGTAGCTAAGGCTTTAAATGTCACTGTAAAATGACATGGAAGAAGGAAATCTGTCTGTACAGCCATTGGAAGGGAAGTTGTTTGGGTTCTGTTTTCCCTCAAATGACTGTGTGACTGTGTCTTACCCAGAAAATGATAGAAAAACAAACTGCTCTTACCTTATCCTTCGAAAGTGTGGATCCGATTCCTTCCTGATTAAAACTTAGGGCAACTGCTTATTTCAGTTACAGTAAAATCAAAGCATATGAATCACTGAAAGCTTGATTAATCAAGTAGTTTAATGTATGTCATTGATATGTTTGAGGGGAAAATGAGATTTCCAAAAGCAACTTAGGTGGCAAAATGTCTTGTTTACACTTAGAATACAAGACAATGCTGCAATGTTTTTCTTTCTTCCGTTTTTTCTGCTATAAAGGAAAATTAACTGAAACAAATGCACAGAGCAAACACTTCTACATCTTTATGTTGGCAAATTAGTTTAGATTACAGAGCATCACACAGGAATAGATCACAAAGTAACACAGGAATTTGTTGGAAGATATGGCTTCCCTTTGGAATGAAAGTATCATAAGTGAAATTAATTATAGTACTATATGGATATTTCAAGAAAAATATTTTATCCACGCTGAATTTCACTTTATATACAATTTTTGTCTTCAATACCTAGAACAGGAAATATCAGAATGCATTCACACACAAAGATATCAAGTGCTACACTTACAGCAATGCCCAGTGTGCAGTTTTAGATTCACTGTGGTTTCCTCCAGGTTAAGCTAATTCAAATGTTAAACTCTCTGGGTCACTATGAAAAAGCTTATGAAAACTTAACTGTAAACTTTAAAAAATGCCAGAAATACAGTGGCTGCAGCACAGACCTCTAAAAGATGGTTTCCACTTTCAATATGTTTCAGTTCTATTTCACATGAACCAAATTTAAAGCTGAAATTCCCTGCTTTAAGCATCATATGCTGTCCACCTATTTCTCACATTTGCTGAGCATTTGACCCTTTCCCCTTTTTAAGCTTTGATGAACCTCTTGTGAATCTAGGAGGTTATAAAGTGTATAATGTAGAAAGGTCAGTTGCCAGTACCTTAGAAGTTAATTTTGAGTTAGTTTTGGGCAGGAACAATACCTGGCAATCTCTTGCAGCCAATCAAATCTGTATGACAGGTCCCAAACTACAGTCACAGATCTCAGCAGCCTTATGTTCTCCTGAGGTGGGCCATAGGAAGAGCTCAGCATTTTGTCTGTGGGTGTTTCATTATGGTTCATAAATATAGGTCATTCTTCACTGTCCGCCTCGATGAGAATAGGAATGAGCCTTCCTCTCTAGGATGGGAGTTAGACAAGTGTGCTTTCCCATCAGGTCTTAACTGAAGTCATGTGTCACTGCACATCTTACAGCACATGCAGAAGGCTGACTGTGGACTGCATTTCAGAACATGTAAGAATCCCCAATTCAGATTTGATGATAAATATTAGATTATTTAAATCTTTTGGTCATTCAAGAGTAATTTTTTTTTCTACTCTCTTTATGCATTTTTGCATGATCATCTTTGGGTCTCTAGTGTATACCTGAAGTGCCTTTATAAACTATACTGGGTCTGCCTTCAGAAAACTGGGGGAAAATTATACATTGTAATTTCAGCAGCTATTTTGCTTTAATTTAGTATCTGCATCTCAGTCTACACTTTATATTCTTGACAGATTTTGTGTGTTGGAGTTATTTCCAGATTTTCTGTCTTCCTGTGACAACTATTGAATCTTTATGGATATAATTGGATATACCCATAAGAATATCCAATTATATCTAGATATATCTATAAGAGTAAATTGAATGCTTCACACAGCACTCCTTGGCACTATATTTAACAAGTACAGGATACTTTTTTTCTGTTCTATTAAAACCTTAATATCTCTAGGAGGTCAGCCACATTCAAACTATCTGTTACTAATGGTCTTGACCCATACAGGCCCTTACCTTTATTGCAAATTTCATAGGAGACTGCCTGTTGGCCCAGATCAAAAGGGGATCCAAGGACTACAAGTGCTGTAATCCTTTCACAAAACAGGCATCTGGGATAAAGGGCTCTGCAAACCAACAGGAGACAGTTATTTCCATTAATGGCTTCAAGTCCTCAAAGACAATATAAACATTAAGCAAATAAAAAAAAATTTCAAAGTTCCTATCTTTGTGAAGATGTATGCCAGAAGAAGTCCATTTATAGCTTGTTGAATATCCAGAGCTCTTTGGAACCAAGACATATAAGTGGGAGATCCACACCTGCAGATATAATTAACTTTGGTTTAATGTTCCATAAGGAATTTCTTCACTGTATTCACTAGTCTTTAGTGTCACCTTAATGTCTTCACTGAATCAGAACTGTCCCAGGATAAAAGAAAAGAACTTTTAGTAGGAAAGTACCAAGACTGTTGTTGCTTTTGCATCACACAATTATATCCATAATTGTTTCCAGTTCCTGAATCTACAGAACCGTGTTCAGGCACTTTTTGGATATCTCCAAGGATACAGACTCCACAAGCTCTCTGGGAAACTTTTGACAGATTTCAACCACTTAAAGGTAAAATGTGTTTTCCTACTCTTAAGTGGAATTTTCTGTTCCAGTGTGTACCCATTGCCTCTTGTCCAGGTCTACTGGGCACCACTGATAATAGACTTCACCTTCTTTTCTCCCTCCCTTCAGGTATTTATACAAGCTGATGAGATCCCTCCTGAGCCTTCAACTCTCCAGGCCCAGTTCTCTCAGTCTCTCCTTGTACAAAAGAAACTCCAGCACATTG